AATTTACGTTGTTACATGTAGTATGCTAGTTATTGTGTGATACATGTTGTGATCGGGTTGAAACTCTTGGATTAGGTGTCTAAGCCCGTAACTATAGTTGGTATGTACTTGATTTGATTATAGCATGGTCCTTTTGGGTTGCCTCCACCATAGCAACTAGACAGGATGAGTGTTGGAGTAAGAGGTTATTTAATGGTTTATTAATATATTATAATAATAATATATTAATTAAGAAATCATATTATTTAATTAGTATTGATCAAAAATTAATTTGGAATTAATTTAGTGATCAAAAGAAACTGATTAAATGAATGAGGACTGATTATGTAAATCAGTGATAGTTGTAGTTTGGGCTAATGGACTCTATTGATAAGGAGTGGACAAAAATATATGGGAAGCCCATAGAGTTTTCGTCCAAGGCCTATCATATGGGGGTCTATGGATTTCTTAGGGCGTAAGCAAGGGAATTAGGGTTTCCAGTTGAAAACCCTAGCAGCCTCAACTATAAAAGAAACCCCTAGACTCATGAAATCAGCCACTTGATTCCAAAGAAGAAACCCTAGCCGATTTCATACTCCTTCTCCCTCATTTTTTGCTTGTGGTGTTTGTGAATCCATTAGAAGTGCAACGCTTAGGGTACTAGGCTTTCGAAGGTCAAACAATTGAAGTGATGATTGTTTGTTACTACTAGCTAACAAGAAAGGTATTCATTTAAACCCCAATATATATAGATTTCATTTTTATATAGTAGATCTAGGGTTCTTGCTTTGGAAAATTAATTTTCATGTATAACTTGAGAAAAACCTAGATCCAAAGCAAAATAGGTTTGCATGTGCACATATGAATGTTGTAATGCTCAAAACTCATCAGTGGTATCAGAGCTTAGGGTGTTTTCTGTTAATATGATGCAATTGTAATTTGTTCAAAGCTGAATCAAAATCGTTTTGCTCACTGTGTGTTGAACTCGACGAGTTCAAAGATGAACTCGACGAGTTGGAGCAACTCGATGAGTCCATGCCCTGACTCGACGAGTTTGTTCATCTGTTGACAGATTTTTCGGATTTCAAGCCTAAATTAGATAAGGATAATTACCTTATAAAATTTAATTTTCTGATATGGTAATGGATATCCTCATCTAATTAAAAGATAATTGTCAAATTTTAAGATAATGTTCAAAATTATGTGTTTAGTTTAATTATTTAAAATTCGATCTAGAAGTTTTGAATAGTTTCAAAATTTGCCCTCAAGTTTTGGAATTTAAAATTTGATTAAAAGTTTTAATTTTGAAATATTAAATTCTAAAACCCTAGTATTTGAAAAGTTTAAAAAACAACCCTTATACTATTATAATATTAAAAGATTAATATATATATATATATATATATATATATATATATATATATATATATATATATATATATATATATAAGATGAGTCAGTCTTACCGTTAGTATGCCTAATTCACGAAGCTGGTCTATAAGGGGTGTTTAAGGAAGCGGCCTATAAAATGACCGACATAAGGTATCCACTCTTACCCACCACACTCTTGACTAGTGGAGGGTCGTTAGCCGAACGGGTAGGATAGGACATTAGTTCTCTTATTAATAAGTATAATGATAATAATAAAGTAACTAAATGTTTTTATAAATTCTCAATCTTAGTTACTTTAGGAAAAATGTGAAAATGATGCTAGTCCATGAAATTGCACTATGCACCTTGCCAAGTCGTTAGTGGAGCGTGTGTGGTTAACCAACATACTAACTTGGACTAACAAGTGTGGCAAAGGGTAGCTCGAGAATTACCATCGATCAATGGAGCGTGTGTGGTTAACCGACACATTGATTAAGTGGTAAATGACATCGAGATTGCCAAGCTAATTTGCATGGTTATTCACACATTGTTTGTGATCCTCGATATCCCAATCACAAACTTAAAGGGCATAATCGAGATTAATAATGCCATTGAAAATTTCAATGACTCTCATAAGAATCTAGGAATTTCATTTAATTCAAAACCTAATTCTTCATTTCATTTTTCCGTGGTGGAATTGATAAATCGTCATTTACCTACCTTTAAATAATTTGCAATTGGATTACAACATCCCTCTTCCGAATTGTGAATTATTGTGTTGGATCCTAGCCTTAATATTTCATTTGGGTGTTATGTTAAGGATTCTTTATCTAATAAAAACTTTGTTCCTTTTATTTTTCAGATGTGTGGCTCAAACAACGCTTCTGGCTCGAGCTGCAACTCCTCAAGCTCCTTTTCTCTTATAAACATTTGTGCGAGGAACACATTCGATGGATCCAATTTCAATGATCGGATTCGCAACATTCGAATGGCCTTGCGATACGAGGAGAAAGAATACGTCCTCGACAAAGAACTCAAAGAGATGGATTAAACCAAAGCTATTGTTGAACAAATAGCTGAGTATAGGGCTCACGAAAAGGACGCGACAAAGGTGTCGTGTATTATGGTAGCCACTATGACTCCTGAGCTGCAACGGTTCTACGAGGACTACTAGCCTTACGAGATATGCCACGATTTGATTGAAAAGTATCATCAAAGTGCGCGTCAAGAAAGGTACGAGATTGTCGCCTCGCTGATAACAATCAAGATGAAAAATGGAGAGTCCATCACGAGCCGCTTGCAAAAGGATGCAAAGGTATGTCGATCGTTTGCTCAAGTTTAATGTCAACTTTAACGAAGAGTTGGCGATTGATATTGATGTGTGTGAAACAAACTAGTTTTAATCCTAACAAACTCAAATAAAAACAAACACATGCAGGCAGTGTACCTATCGATAGCAGTTTAGTTCAAGAAAGCAGGGTATCGAAAACAGGGAACGGTAATAATTAAACTAATTACTAAAATTATCTAATTAAAACTAACAATAAAAAGAAGAGGGTTTTCTCTAGTTTTACAAGACTAGAACTTAAATAAATGACTAACACTCAAACTAAAATTACTAACAACTAATGCAAATAAAAGTTACCAGATTCAATATTAAAAGAGACTTCTGTTCAGGTTCGAATCATTTATTCCTATGGTTGATTTCATGGCAAGTGCAATGGATTAATTTGTCATTGGCTACCGATTTAATGTGATTAGGTTCATATTCATTATTACTAATCCTTAGCAGACTAATTAATTCAAAAAGTGGCAAATTAATTAAACTAACAAGCTTACTAGATTATAGATTCGGATCAAGTGAGACTTGTAATATTAACTAAATTTATCAATTTAATTAACTCATGTATGGTTGTTCATCATACATGCTTACACATTGATTTACTTATTTTCCTAGTTGATCCTAGGTTCATAATCACTAATACTAGGTATACAATATTGTGTTCACAATTCCATATGATTCAAGCAATTAAGATAATATTCATGCAACTCAATAACTTGACTACTAACAGAAAAATAATCATAATCAACACATAAGGTTCTTTAACAAGCTCAACAAGACAAATTTACCAAATCTAATTAATCCAACCATAAAATCAAACCATAGTTATAAATTCATCTAGCCAAAATAGAAGTTATGAGTTAGCTCATATTTACAGCAGAAAACATCTCAAAAACTAAATCTAATGGTTGAAACATATTCTAATCAAAAGATTAAGGAAAAGAGAATGAATTTTGCATTTAGATCTCTTCCAAATTGGTATCTAGGGTGCAATCCTAGTTTCAGAGCTCCAAGAATCCTTTTCTTCGCAGATTAGTCGCTCCAAAAATCCAGAGAGAAGTCATTGTCTCATGGGTTTGTGCCCTTTATATAGTTTTCTGAAAATAGGGGCGACTCGTCGAGTCCATAGACTGACTCACCGAGTCCATCACCTAAAATCCGTGCGTGGTAACGCACCTAATGGTTCACGAATATTCCTATCTACTCGACGAGTTGAGGACCAACTCGCCGAGTCCTTCACATATTTAGCTTGATTTCTTCTTTCTTCAATTCCCGAGCTTCCAATTGCTAACCCCACTTCCTTTTTAACTTGAGCATGTATTTTAGACTGAAAATACAATTTAAACACAATTAAGTACCTTTTTTTCAATAATTAGGACAAATTAGCCAAAAAGTATTAAGATATTAACCAAAATATATGGCTAGATAAGCACATATCATAATACCCCACACTTGACTTTTGCTTGCCCCAAGCAAAACTGAATTTTAACACACTAGCATCTCATAAGACAATTATAATCAAACCCAACCATTATGCCAAGACCTCAACGCATTCATTTGTGTCTAAAATTTTTCCTAAGGACCCCTCCTAATCCTAAATACTCACAATCCTCATAAACACTCGCCCACTTCTTTTGAACAATGCTCATTTTATGCATCACTACTAGAAAAACAGCCTTTTACGACGCGCAATGTGTGTCGTAAAACGCTCAGACGACGCGCAAATGCGTGTCAAGGAAGGCCATGTCATAACGAGAGACGACGCGCTTTTGCGCGTCGTCTATAGATGACGCACATTTACGACGCGCATTTATAACACACATTTACGACGCGCAATGCGTATCAAGGAAGCCCCTGTCATAAAGGAAGACGACACGTATTTGCGTGTCATAACCTTACGACGCACGTTTATGACACGCATTGCGTATCATTAAAGCCCCTGTCATAAATGAAGATGACACGCATTTGTGTGTGATAAACTTCAACATCCATTTACGATATGCATTTACGACGTGCCTTTACGATATTCATTTACGCATACAAAAATATGGAAACAAATATATACCAAAATAATCAACCAATAACATCATGTCAAACAAGTTATCAAAAATTGAAATACATTAATTTTAATCTGATAGTACATTGTTATTAAAGGGTTTTCCCTAACTATATAACTTGATACTACATCCCTAACTATATAAACTGATCCTTCATGTCATTGGTTTGCCAGCTGGTGTACCACGTAAAAATTTTGAACTTGGTGCCATGGGCGGCTGACCACCGGGCGTGGCTGGAAAGTAATTTCTCCCTACATTGTCTTTTCTGTTCTAACTATCTCCAGTAGTGGCATCACGTGAGCTGGACTGTAATCATTTAATAAGAAAAAAATTTAAAAAAAGTTAATATGAGTACAAAATTGCCTATAAGATGTAGACATATGGATTTTGTCATGTAACCTGAAGAAATGTGCCCCAATAACTCGATCTTGAGATTTTATTTTTTCTCCAATTAAATTGAGGTCAATCGTGGATGTGTTGGTTGCTAAAATGCAATGAGGGGGACAAATGTTTTCAATTTCACTGAAGATCTTTTGCTTTAAAGGAATGTTCTCAATTACAGCATGTATTCACAAATAGAGTTGCCAAATTATGTCTTTTATAAAGTTTACATTTTATGTGTTTTTAAAGATCATACCTCTATAACCATATCTACATCTTTAAATTGTGAGTAATCCAAAACCCTATTAACCAATGACAACGCCTTTTCACCTTGACCCTGTGGTAGCTTCTTCCTTGCAACCAATCCTTTAACATTTGCTGAAAAAGTCATCAAATATATAACCAATAAGTCACATAATAAACTGGATACAAAATATAAGAGATAACTAACTACCTTCTATTGTTTTTATTCCCTTTTGAAGATACTCAGAGTTGACTTCCTTGAGAACAACTTTTATATTACCAAGGATAAGGGCAGTTGCTATTCCAGACCCCATTAAACCTCCACCAATCACATCAACTTTCTTCACACTTCTTAGCTTTAGACCAACATCAGTAACTTTAGGTACCTGTAAATGTAAAATCAAAGAAAACCAAGTTCAGATTTGTAGAAATTTTGATATTTCAGAAAAAAAAAATAAGAGAAAAAGGTTTAAATTACCTTTGAGATTGCACGTTGTGCAAAGAATATATGAACAAGACCTTTCGATGTGTCTGAAACAACAAGCTCATTGAACACCTTCACCTCCTGAGGAACAAAATGTTTGCATTATTAGAAGTAATTGATAAACAATTTAATTACAAAAATGGTCCCTGTGATTTCTGATTTAACCGCGTTTGGTCCAAAAATGAAATCTTTCTTCATTTTGGTCTTATTTCAAAGGTTCCAAGGACCAAAACCTTGAAAAAAGAATCAACATTGAAAAGGGTTTCACGTTTTGACTATACTAGGTAATTTTTTAATCAGAAAGTACAAGGACCATTTTGTAATTTACTCTAGATAAAATCAGGGTATATAAGTAACAACTAGTATCAAATCACTTATCACTTTCAAAATACAAATCCAAACACAAAAAAGAAGTAATAAAAATACCTTCAAAACGCCTGACTTTTCCCCTTCCTCAGAGAGTATTGGTTTAGATGTCTACAAACAAGATTCATAAATTAATATCATCGATTTGTTTAAATATTCATAATCAGTAAATACTAAATAGTATTCAAGGAGAGAGAGGAGAGAAGAGAGATGTGCTCACCAACATCATATCAATTCCCTTTGATAATCCCAAAAGCCTAGGAAGTCTTTGGGTATCTTGAAAACCATATTTTCCATTATTTAGTGAAATCCCATTTGTATAATCATATTAAGTAAGGTGTTGTGTTGTTATTTACCATCATTTCTAAACAGAAAGGCTAAAATGGTCAATTAATCAGGTTCGGATAACTGATTTAGTCTAAAAAAGAATCTGTCTTTCCATATACAATGTTTTATCCATATAGGACTTAATAGGGGAAAAAAGAAACATGTATTTATTTTTGACTTGATGCAAAAAAGAATGACTTAACAAAGAAAGTTAGAAAAAGAAGGCTTTTCATGTCAAGTTTCAACCTTTTTATAACTTTGCCCTCATCCCCTCATTTATTTTTTCCTTTTCCTTTTTCCTCAATTGTGTTTTGTATTTCTCAGATATTTTTAAACATGATTCATTCAGACATACCTCCAAAGCCTGTCATAACTCCAAGAGAGAATTTAGGTAAGCCAAGTTGAGCTCTTGGAGCTGCAACACACGCATGGCATCCCTACATTAATCAAATACATTATAACACATTTACAATAACTATTTTTTAAATAATTTGACTCATGAAAACTACAAACCATTGCAAGTTCTAAGCCACCCCCGAGTGCAAGTCCTTGTACAACAGCAACTATGGGTTTCTTGGCATCTAGATGTACCCAAAAAAGAAAAAAAAAGAAATTGTGTCAAGAAATGTAGACATAAATACAAAAACTATAATATAAATTGAAAGTAAAAACCTTCAATTGTGTTGGTCACAAGGGCAACAGATACATCAGGTAGTTGAGAAATGTCTCCTGCAATGACAATGGTTAAAGTTTCAACATGGATTTGAGGAACATAATAGATTAGTAGCTTCTTGCATATATGATGGATAATGAAGTCATACCTGTCTTGTGAACTTTCTGAAAAACATTGATGTCAAATCCACCTGAAAATCTTCCATTCTTGCCTTCATAAAGTAAGAGAAATGAAATTAAGTCATGTAACAGTTTGACAAAGCATCGGTGATAGTTCCCAATGCATTGGTTGGTGACTCATGCGTTTTCTGTTCAAGAATCTCTGCAGCCAGCTTCAGATAATTTGAGACTTTCTGCCAAGGGTAATTTGGGAAATTAGTTTCAAAGGCAAAACATGCATCAAAGCTACATGAACCATGTAGTTAGTTACTTGTGCCTTTTGCAGGCCTTTTGCAGCTTCAATTATGATTCTCCTATCCAAGCAAATGATCTCCTCAGACTCCAAGCATTTGTTATAATAGTATGATGCATCATCTACCTCTCCTAGAAGTAAATAACAGCTGAAAATAGGATGTAAAAAGATAATTAGATTATGATTTTTCCTATCTCATAAGTAACTGACAGATAGAAATCTTACTTTGCAGATCTTAAGTTGACCTTCATGAAATTGGGATCTAATGCAACAGCCATTCTACACTCGTTTAGATCTTCTCTCATTCTTCCAAGAGCCATGCGTATAGCTGCACGATTGTTATAACACAAAAGAAGAGGTTGTATACAAACGCCAGGTGTCTCTATATGTTGTATTGAACTAATACCCTTTGAATAACATACTTCAGCTTCTGATAAATCTCCACTCTTATAAGCCTCGTTTCCCCTGCACAAATCAATTTATTTCAGAAATCAAAAGCATATTAGGTTTATACAAATGTAAAATATCAAAAAAAAGGGGGGTGGGGGGGCTAAAACAACACTTTTTTCGCCAACTGTCACATGTTTCTTGATCTGTAGCCTTTGTGTGCTCCCTGTTACCTGGTTTATGAGAATGGAACCATTAACACGACCAGTTCTCAGCTTATACTTCTTCTGATGTGGCCGTTGTCTCACTGCCATGTCAGCACTAGCAAAAGATGTAACAGAAGGTGAAAAGTTTTGGGCCCCAAGCTTCTCTGTAATATTAATAGCATCTTCATTTTGAACCTGAGAGGTTGCAGGGTTTGTAGAAGTCGAATTACTTCTATAACCATTTTCGATATTTAGTAACTAAAACATCGTAAATATACACAAAACAATTATCAAGTTTTTAGCATACTCATTTTAATCATCTGATTATTTTGATTCGTTATTATAATTCAAAGAAGAATTGTTCCAATCCATTCCCAGTGTTCAATAAATTTACTTTGATTTGTATTCTTCTCAATTGATCAAGAAGTGAAAATACAAAAAGAGAAGAATTGATGTCTCTAAATGTGTCTATCAAACAAAAGAGTGAAAGACATCCATCAAATTATCAACTGTAAGGTAGATATTGAATAATGGCGGTTGATAGAGTGAATGCAGTAAATAAAACATACCTGGATAGAGTTGTAGAAATTAGAAAAAGAATGATTTTTTGATTGGAGGGAGATGAAGAGATGAAGTTACCAGAATAAAACGAGGACAAAAACTGCGTTTCTGTAGAAATTGTAGAGGATCATGTAACCCATTCTTTGGTAATTCCAGTGTCCATGGACTAACAAAAGAGGGACCAGAAAACGGAATTGAGCCATGGCAAAATCCGATGACATCATAGCTTGCCGACCTTCTTGTCCGCTGATTCCGATTCCGACATCCGCCTTTTGGATCATGGAAACGTCATTGGAACCTACAAAGAGAAAAGGTAATCATGATTCCTATAACCGAAATGACTATTTTACCCTTACATTCCAATTTTACGCTTACCATCTCCAATGGCAAGGGTGAGATCATCTGTTCTTTTCTTAATCAGCATAACAATCCCAACTTTTTGCAATGGAGCCACTCGACAACATAAAACCACAACGCATTTACTCGCCAATTCAAACAGCTGAAACAAATAAAAAAATAATCAGATTACAAAAACTCAAAAGAGAAGAAATTCTAGCGTTTATGAATTATGAATATTCACCTGTTCTTCAAGTTCCGTATCAAGGATATACACAAGACTTGTCCCATCAATAATCAAAGCAATCGATCTTGAATCATCTCCAGAACTATCACTTTTGCGAGACCTAATTAACGCATCGCTCAAGCTTTTTCTACACGATTCAGTAGAATTATTGTTTATTACAATTTGCGTCATTGTATTTGTTAGAAGCTTGGATGAATATCCAATTGAAATAGCAGTTTCTTGTTTATCGCCTGTTAAAACCCAAACTTTTATGCCAGCTGTTCTTAAACTCTCGATTGCTTCAGGTACACCTTCTTGTAATTTATCTTCAATTCCAGAAGCTCCTAATATGTTGAGATTTGTTTCTAAATTGATTGCCACCTTTTTAAGTAAACGTGCCCTACCCATTAAAGCACTGGTTGCAGACTCGTAAGATGAACGCCATTGATTGAATTCATGAGAATTTAGTTCACGGATTCCCATAACTAGGGTTCTTAATCCGACTGAAGAATATGAATGAAGATGGGATTTGGTTGCTTTTACTATATCTGAATCCATTGATTTATCTATAACATTAAACAATGTTGTATCTGCACCTTTAACGAAAACTTTCACCGAGTTATCGGGAAACCCTAATATAACTGACATCCTTTTACTTTCACTACCGAATTCGTGCATTCCAAGAAAATGAATGAATCTAGAGTTACTTCATTAGAGCTCGATTGGAGTGGAATCGGAGATTGGGGAGCGGAAGAAGAGAGAATCAGAGAAGTTCGAAGTGTGGAAAACTAATTACACCTCCCTGTACCTCACTCAATAATCGAAACCATAGAAATTCTTGAATTTTGTATGAACAAGAGACGAAGATGCGAAGTTGTGGGAGATGCAAAGTTGGAGAGTAGATGTGGAGAAGTGAAACGGTGGAGGTTTGAGAATCGAGAGAGAAGAAAGAAAGAAAGGGGTTTTCGGCGGGGATGAGCTAGGGTTTTCAGATTAAAGGTGGAACAAAGCGGGCTTTTTAATTTTTGGATTTCATTTCCCCCTTCGATGAAACGCGCGCGTTTCATTAAAATTTATAAAGCGACATGGTTAGACGACACACATTTTATTTAAGGTGCCCTCCGTGTTTTTATTTTTTATTTTTTATTAGACACTAATTTTAGGGCACGCAAATATGCGTGTCATCTATGCTTCATATTTTGGAAAACTGACATCAATTTTTAGGGCAGGCACAAATGCGAGTCCTCTATCAGCGCGTGTCATTGATTGCACGTCGTAAAAGGCTGTTTTTCTAGTAGTGCATCCTTCTGAATCCATCCCCAGAAGACTTTCTTAACCTCAAGTCATTTTTGGTTAAACTACCAAGCATACATACTTTCTAGAAAAATTACAACTTTAATACCACAATGGAGCTCTTTGAATTCTTCACTTATTTGATCTTTGATCTCTTTGAATTCACCACCTTCTTTGTTTGGTTTTTGGTATCTTCAACTTTTGAATTTTGATCTTCATACTTCATACTTTAATTGCTCCAAAATTCTTTAGCTTTTTGGTAATTTCTCTCTTTTTTTTAAACATGTACCTCACTTTTTTTCACTCAAAACCTACATGCTTAAGCAAGGAGCTTAACTTCATCCTTTATTGGTTAAGGTATTAGGCTTCCTGGATACATTTCAAGTACACGATGCTAAACATGTTGCATCCCTCAAACTAAGCGAGGTTGTGTTTTTGTCCCATGATTTCACTAGAATAAAGGGGGCCACAAATGCATTATAACGTATATTGGCTAAACTAAACATTTGGGTCCTCATAAAATCATCAAACACAAAACTAGCATGAATCCTAATTGCTTTACCAAGATTTCCTAAATTACCCCTAGCAATTGTTTATGCAAAATTTTTAAAAATTGACTAAAATTCTAAATTGACTAATATGACCAACCCCCTACCCCACAATTAATTTATGCAATGTCCCCATTGCATATTATGCATGATAAAAATATAAAAAGCGAAGAGGGAATTGGAACAAACTCCCTGGGATAGTCGTGGCGAGGTTGATCTTCTTCATTTAAAGCTCCATCTTCAACTGACTTTAGGAATGGGAATAGCTCATCCATACCTCGGGCGTCAAATCTCGTGTGTATAGCTCCAAATATAAAAGAACAAGCTCTTGGAAATGCTCGGAAAATGATCTTTAAATAATATAGCCAAAACCAGCGTCAAAGGGCATCGAAACATCGAGCGGGAAATAAGAAGTTGAGAAACTCGTCGAGTCCATGTACTGACTCGGCGAGTTATAGTTATAAAAGCAGAAAAAAGTCGCGTTTTTTCACTTGGACTCGTCGAGTACTAGATGGGCACTCGACGAGTAGGTGTTGTATGGTAAAAAATTATCTTCTGCTTCAGGTCCGTTTCTGGTGTATTTGGGCAATATTAAAGTGACACTCCCCCTCATTTTTCTTCAGTAAATAAGCACTATTTAACCCTTTTCATGATCGGACTCATACTCAGACTCAAAACTTCTATTTCTCTTGCCTAGACTTGATTTTTTCTTGGTTAATCTTGACTTTACTCTTGCACTTATCCCTCACCCTTAAATTGAAAAGACCAAAAACAAACACATGTAATAAAAAAGGAAAACAACTAAAAATCCTAATTACTACAAGTTTCAAACATCAACCAAAAGAAAAACAAACCAATCCAAATAAAATAATTTTAAAACAAACCAAACAAATAAAATTAAAAAGGATAAACTAATCTTCATCTCCTTCCTCCTCATCATCTCCAACTCCGCTCCCCCCGACTTCACTCCTTCTCGCATTTACCCTTTCTTCCCAATTCCTAATATGCGAGTACCCGGGTCCGTCCATCGGTGGAATGTGCATGTGGTTCATCATATGGGCAAGAGCCATATAATTCTAGTTTATACCTTGTCCAATATCATCTTCATACCGTCTCAACTCCACATTGTACCAATCCATTGGTAATTCTTCTTCCACCGGTATTACCGGTGTGTCTTCATCTGCACGTTCTTGTCTTGGCCTAACCTGCCTACTCGGTTCCTCGGGAGCAATCACATCATCATCATCCGGGATTGCAAAATGACCACCACCATAATCTTCCACAACTCTTGACCTCCTATAAAGCATAACACTAAATGAAGGTGTTGGTAAAATAGTCAACATATTTCCGGCTCCTCTCTCTAACACACCATACGACCTTTCCAAGCGGGTCACAAACATTCCACCATTTATCTTAGAAGTAGTCTGATTCTTCACCGCTCCCTCTCCCAGATACTTTTCCAAACAATAAGGAAGATTGCAAAATGTATTTGGCATAATAATGCTCCACAAGTAGAAGATGTCAAGGGTCGGGACCTTGTCGTCATCTTTCCGCATGTTTATGGTACTAGCAATCAAGTGGTGAATCAAACGGTGAATGGGGGATCTTATGCCCCCCTCTTGAGACGCCGAAGGAATGTAGACTCTATTCGCTATTGTATTCCATCAATTTGCACCAACTGTTCCCTCCAAAAGCTCTTTTTGGCAATTTTCCAAAAACAACCAGAAAGCTTCAGTCATAACCTCAGCTTCATCATAGATGTCCAGTCTCCAACCCAATTCCTCTATACTGCATTCACGGTATTCACCTCCAAGGCAGAAAGTTAAGACATTTTGATTATAAAAATCATTCCCTCCCCGGAATGATACCGTGGCAAAGAACTCTAGGCAAAGCTCTTGGTACACTGGTTCTTGAATTTGGAACAACCTCCTCCAGCCATTGCAAGTAATTGAGATCCCATTTTGAACAAAAACCTTAGTCAAATAAGGATTTAACGCCTCCGTCAAACCCACTTGACCCATCCATTCCCAGTTTATCTCGTTTGGCAGATAAATATCCTTTCCCTTGAGTGTCTCGAGCTTCTTCTTCCACCTAGCCAAAGTGGACTTTGAAACGGCTTGTGGAAAATTAAACCACGGGAATTCCCCTCGGCTTCCCCTTGAGCTTTGGCCTACTCTGAACATTTTCTTCAAAATCAACACAAAACAAAACCACAAAACCACAAAAACATTAAAAAATAAAAATATGGACAGTTGCAATATGGACTCGTCGAGTCCATGAACAAACTCGGCGAGTCAGATGAACTGCTCGCAGAAATCGGACCTGATTGAGAACAAATCAGCCATGGATACTCAAAATTCATTTTAGGGGTTTGTCTAGGTTTGTATACCAAGTGTTAATTAACAAAAAATTTCAACTATAACACTCTAAATCGACCGAAATCGAAACCCTAAAATTCATGTCAAGTTCAAAAATCGGGAATCTAACAAATTAAGTCATGAAGCTACCAAAGATTGAACCATTAAAAAAATTAGGAGTAAAAGATCTTACCTTTTAAAGAGAAATTGAAGAAATCACGAAAATTGGGGATGCTTGCTTGACAGAAAACTTGCTCGTCTAGTGGTAGGCTGAATGAAAAATGTTTTTGCTATTTGTAACACCGTAAATTTTCAAACAAATTTTTCATTTTAAAATCACATGATTCTCATATCACATTTCATAAAAATCTCATTGGTTTAATTTACAATACACAACTCCATAATTGTTTGATTAATAATCCAGGATCCTCAAAACATAACTCTTTCTCTAGTGTGTACAATCAATCCGGTGCCTTCCCGCGATTCTGAGAAAACCTGAAACACATATCACATAACACGGTAAGCACAAAGCTTAGTGAGTTCCCCAAAATACTACACACACATCTCATTAGCCACTCGAGGCTATATCACTGTAAGACCCTCCGGTCAATGTGTCTCAGTGGGACCCTCCCGTCCCACGGTTCGTTGGACCCTCTGGTCCGGTCTGTAAAGCTCCGCATATCATAAATCACAAAGACATAATGTACAACACAAAACATAAGGCAGGATAACATAATTCTCAATGTAAGCACGTAAGACCCTCAGGTCACACATAAGTAGCACTCTAGGTAAAGTATAGTGAGAAGACTCACCTTGCAAGTAGCAAGCAATCGTCCTCGAATTCGAATCTCGAACTCGCCACTGCCTAACACATAGGATAAATATCTCTAATTAATACTCGATTCTCGATTCTCAATAACCAAATGTTATTCTTCTCTCTCTAACTCTTGAATTGGGTAAAAGACCATTTTACCCCTCCATGGTCTCCATTACTCATGTTGACCAAACCCTAAAGTCAAAAGAAGTCAAACTCGAGTCAACAGTCCATGTTTGACCGGACTCGCCGAGTGCACTAATGCGACTCGTCGAGTCCACTCGTTCCTCATATGTCTCGTGAAGGTCTAGCTCGTCAAGTTAACCCCTAACTCGCCGAGCTATTGCATGGTCCAGCTCATCGGGACAAACCCTAACCGACTCGTCGAGTCAGTTCATGGACTCGGCGATTCCCTTCGATCTGGTTTCTCATTCAGACGATTTAAGGCAGATCTATCACTCCAAACACTAGATCTACTATCCTAAGGCTCGATTGTCACGTAAAGCTTCGGTCTTTACGCTCATGGATGGTGGGTTTGCTCCAATTTACCAATACATGTTCTCATAAGGTGTTAAACACCATACTCCTCTCATGGATGAATAACGTTGGGACCTTTGGGCTCTAGGGACCTCACAAGGTCCAGATCTGAGGTTTAAACCTCTTGAT